GGAGGCGGTCTTAAGAAAAGCGTCACCGCCCCAGCTTCTCTCCTATTGGCCGAGGTCTAGTTTAAAGGAACCTCGGATCAGTTTTAGACTGATCTGTTTTCTTGTCTGAGGTTAAATGATTTTCAGTTTCATCATCGTTCAGTTTAAACAATAAAAACTAAAATAAAAACCTAACAGCGTGTTCAGACGCTCTTTACATCCAGAAAACACAACAGAGTTATATTTCTGTGGATTCAGATTCATGACTTTGTGAGTTAAAACTGTCGACTGAAAAACTTTGCGTGTCTGCTGCACATTCATGCATATTTACACACACAAGTGTGTGTAAATATACGCACACTTTCACGCAACGTTGGTTTTAATACATCCCAACATGGGCGTAGAACCTGGAGCACGTAACTTTTTTACACGTTTATACATGAGGCCCCGGGTCATGGTCTAACTGGAAGACCCGTTTGTCCCAAAGCTTTAACTTCCTGGCTGAAGTCTTGAGATGTTGCTTCAGTATTTCCACGTAATTTTCTTTCCTCATGATGTCATCTGTTTTATGAAGTGCACCCGTCCCTCCTGCAGCAAAACAACCCACAACATAAYGCTGYCACCCCCGTGTTTCACAGTCAGGATGGTGTTCTCAGGCTTGCACACGGCCCCATTTTTCCTCCAGGTAATGATCAGTTGTCATCATTATGGCCAAACAGTTCGATTTTAGTTTCATCAGACCACAGGACATGTCTCCTTAAAGGTCTTTGTCCCTGTGTGCATTTGCAAACATTAATCTGTCTAATCTATGTTTTGTTTTTTGTTTTTTTGAAGTAATGACTTCTTCCTTGCAGCCCATGTTCATACAGAACTCGATCACCGACACTAACCAGCTTCAGCAGCTCTTTTCTTTTTGTTCTTGCGTTGATTTTCACATTTCGGACCGAAGCACGTTCATCACTTGGACACAGAACCCRTCTCCTTCCTGAGCGGTATGATGGCTGGACGTTTCCATCTTGTTTGTACTTGTGTATCTTTTTTTTGTACAGATGAATGAGGCACCTTCACCCAACTGCACCCAAGGAAGAACCAGACTTGTGCAGGTCCACAACTCTCTTCCTGATATGTTGGCTGATTTATTTAGACTTTCCCATGATGTTACACATGGAAGCAGTGTGTTTCAGGTGTGCCTTGAATTATACCCACAGGTAATTAACTCCGATGTTATCAATAAACCAATCAGAAGCTTCCAAATGCATGACATCAACTGTCCCAAATATTTTAAAGACATAGTACGCTTAGTGTGTTTAAAGTTTTTACTTTGAATTGCCCTAAAAACAATTCTGTCACACATTATTCTGGCATTTAGCAGGTAATTAGATAATTGGTAATTATTTGATATCAATTTATTGTATTT